TCCTGTTGGTCCCCTGGGGCAGACAGGACTTTTCCTGTCTCCCTCTTCTCTTCTGTCCTCTCTCTATCTCTGTGTCTCTTTATCTCTTTTCTCTCCCCCCACTCCCACCTTCCCTTTCTAATAAAACTCCCTTAAGTTCCATCTGCCTGGCATGTTTGTCTCTTGCCTGTCATGGAATCTGCCAAGGTCCCCTTGCCTTTTATTGTAACAACCAGCATGTCCTGCCATGCTCTGTGCCAAGAACATTCTTTTTGTTTGTTTTTAAGATTCTTATGTGTGTGTGTGTGTGTGTGTGTGTGTGTGTGTGCGTGCGTGCGTGCGTGCGTGCGTGCGTGCGTGCGTGCGTGCGTGCGTGCGTGTGTATTTGAGTTTATGGCCATCATGTATGTGCAGGTGCCCAAGAAGTCTAAAGGGTGCTAGATTCACTGGAACTGGAGTTACAGGCAGGTGTGAGTCATCTGATATGGGTACTAAGAACCAAATTCAGGTCCTCTGCAAGAATAGTAAGTGCTCTTAACTGCAGAGCCACCTCTCCAGCCTCTAAAACACAAATCTTTACAGACTGGAGAGTTGGCTCAGCAGTTAAGAGCACTTGCTGCTCTTGCAGAGGACCTGGAATCGATTCCTAGCACCCACAACAGTGAGTCACAACCCTCCATAAATTCAGTTACAGGGGATCAAATGGCCTCTTCTGATGTCCAAGGACACCAAGCATGAATATGGTGCACATACATACATGCAGGCAAAATACTCATATAAAATAAAATAAATCAATCTAAATTTTTTTATTTTTTTTATTATTTTGGTTTTTTGAGACAGGGTTTCTCTGTGGCTTTGGAGGCTGTCCTGGAGCTAGCTCTTGTAGACCAGGCTGGTCTTGAACTCATAGAAATCCTCTGCCTCTGTGCTGGGATTAAAGGCGTGTGCCACCAGCCCACCAGCGCCAGCCACTTATTTATTTATTTATTTATTTATTTATTTATTTATTTGATACAGGGTTTCTCTGTGTAGCTCTGACCAACCTGAAACTCACTCTGTAGATCAGGATGACCTTGAACTCAATCATGGAGATCCACCTACCTATCTCGTGCTGGGATTAAAGGCGTGCACCACCGCCACTGCCACGACCACCACCACCACCTGGCTCACCCATATTGTTTAAATCTACATTCTGCCTTGTGGCTTGGCTACCTCTTCTTTTTTTTTTTAATTTATTTATTTTTGCCTTACGTATATTGGGATTTTTCTTGCATGTATATCTGTGTGAGAGTGTCAGATCTTGGAGTTATAGACAGTTGTGAGTTGCCATGTGGGTGCCTGGAATTGAACCTGGGTGGTTTGGAAGAACAGCCAGTGCTCTTACCCACTGAGCCATATCTCCAGCCCTGGCTACCTCTTCTTAGTATGGCACATCCAACTTGCTCAGAGTTTGCTGGTGAAATCACACACCTAGATTCCTCCTCCTAGTTTTTCTCTCTGCCCAGAACTCCTGCCTATACCTCCTGCCTAGCTATTGGCCATTCCTCTTTTTAATTACACCAATCACAGTGACACAGAGTACAGATATCCCACAACAAGGCCAATTTACTTTTCTTGCCTTCTCTCACTGGTGAAGACCTTTAGACAATAGTGAAAGTGCCATTTTGGCTTTCCTTACAATTTTAATATTTATTTTATTTATTTGTTTTAATATTTATTTATTTTTAGGGGCACAGTTTATGGTAAATGGGAATAGGTTAGCACATATGAAGCCTTGAGTTCAATCTCCTGCACTTAAAATAATAGGAGAGAATAGAAAAAGAATCCTAGGAATGATACTATGAATTCCTGGGTATTTATTTCTGAGTCATAGCTCAAAGGCAAATAGATAAGGCTCAGAGCCTTTCTTTTATCTGAGCAGGAACGTAGCATATTTATTTATGTGTGTCTATGTATGTGTAGAGGTCAGAGGTTGACCTTGAGTGTCTTAGTCAGTTCTCCATCTTATTTCTCATTGAGAAACAATGTTGCTGGCCACCACGCAACAGGGATGTCCTGCTTGGCTCTTGGATTACAGATTTGCGTACCACCACACCTAGCTTTTCACATGGGCCTTGGGGAGCTCCTCACACTTGAACAGCAAACACTTTACTGGACTCATCTCCCCAAGGGATGGTGTTCCAGGGCCTGGGATTGGCTATACAGTCTGGGACAACCCTGAACTCAAGATCCTCCTGCCTCAACCTCACAAGTGATGGAATTACAGGCTTGGGCCACCAAACTTGGCTTAAGGGCCACCGTTTCAGCCATTCCTACAATTTATTTCTCTAGTTTGCCTCAAAAGACTGATGAGGTACAGAAAAATGCTACCCCCAAAATGTGGAATGTTGGCACTGAGTATGGTGGTAGGGAATGGAGAAGCAGGAAGGCCTCTCTCTGACCCTCCACACTTTCCCCTGAAGCAGGCTATGAAACTCATAACTCCTTCCCTTTTCCTTCTGGCCTGAGGCAAGCCATAAAACCAAAGTAGAGCCTGGAATTCCAGCACTTGGGAGGCAGTTAGAAGGATCACTGTAAATTCAGGGCTAGCCTGGGCCACATCTGGAAACCCTGTCTCAGAAGACTGAACAAGTAAAATCCTAGGTAGTCCCCTCTGACCTCTCTCCCCTTAATCCAGTGGTTCTTCTCAACGATCCTAATGCTGTGACCCTTTAATACAGTTCCTCATGTTGTGGTGACCCTACAACCATAAAATTATTTTGTTACTGCTTCATAACTATAATTTTGCTTCTGTTATGAATTGTAATGTAAATATCTGTGTCTTCAGACGGTCTTAGGTGACCCCCGTGGAAGAGTCTTTTCACCCCCGCCCCAGGGGTCACAAACCACAGGATGAGAAACACTGCCTTAAACCCTTTATGGGACATGCATTCTGCCCTAAACTCCTCGGAAGGAATGCCCCATAGAATGCCAAGCACCTCCCGACCCCAAGTACATTTGGGGTGCATGTGTCATTCGGGGTTCATGGCTGAGTCTTCAGTATGAGAGTCAGGCTAGCCTCAAAGTCTCACTTCCAGCTTCCACCATCCATGAGCTGGGATTGCAGGTGCATGCCAGAAGGTGCAGCCACCCTTCACGTCAGAGAAGATTCCACCCAGGCATGCATTTCTTCTGGAAAGTGGCAGTTTGAAAGGTGCAGTGGAGAGAGGTGACCTATATATATCCCAGGCAATGGCCACATTTCCAGAGGATCAATGTCAGGGAAGAGTACATATCCAGTGTGGAACCCAACTCCCTTATAAAAGTGTGCCCAGAATCAATTACTGCCCCCCCCAAGGTTTCTCACATCTTCATACTAACAGTCAAATAAAGCATGTCTAGCTGGGTATGCCAGTGCACGCCCATAATCCCAACATTCAGGACATAGAGGAAGGAACTCAAGGCCATCCTTGGCTGCACATTTGAGGCTAGCCTGGGATACATGGGAACCTGTCACAAACAAATAAAATGTATCAAAATTTTTCAAGAGACAAGCAGCGGTCAGGTGGTGGTAGTGCACACCTTTAGTCCCAGCACTCAGGAGGCAGAGGCAGGCAGATCTCTGTGAGTTCAAGACCAGCCTGGTCTACAAGAGCGAGTGCCAGGACAGCCTCCAAAGCTACACAGAGAGACAAGCAGTGTCTGGATAGCTGTGGGTAGATTGCCTGCCTAGCAATTAACAGGGCTGGGGGAGGGGTGTCTCAAGACGAGGGGCTTTCCTCAGTTTGCTGATCCCAACATCATAATTTTACTTAAAAAAAATAAATAAAAGCAGGTCAGGCTTGGTGGCACATGCCTTTAATTCCAGCACCTGGAAGACAGAGACAGGCTGGTCTTTGTGAGTTTGAAGCTAGCTCAGTCTACAGAGTGAGTTCTAGGCCAGCCAAGGCTGCACAGTGAGTTTGCTTGTTAAAACAAACTAACATCAAAAACACAAAAAACAACAACTAAAATACAGAATGAATGAATGAACGAATGAATAAAATAAAGCAAGCATCCCTGGGTTTTATGTTTTAGCTAATTTATTGTTAAGTGGAGAAGTCACAAAGGAAAAATGGAGTAGGACAAAAGTCAAAGATAATTTTAAAGGTTTTTTTTTTTTTTTTTTTTTTTTGGTCTTTTGGTGTGTGTCAAATATTGTCTTAAGTTTAGCAACAGGAAAAGTGTCAAATGAAAAGACACTTGTTCAAATGAAGTCTCTTTAGACGTTTGAGAGGAAAACTACCTTTCCTTAGAAACGAACACACAGCATCTGCAGCAGCCATAACTTAGAAAAGAATAAAGAGCTTTCTAACGAACACACCCAGTCCCTCACGCACACTTAGGAATGTCAAGTGAGTGAGTTTTTAAAATCTCCTCTTCCACTCTGCTTACTAACTATCAGGAATCTGCTCTGGGCTGGTGACACCGCCAACAGGGTGCTCCAGGATGTCACCCAGCTTCTGGGCTGGCAGCTCGAGAACCAGAGAAGGTTCTCCATACAGCTCCATACAGCTGGATCCTAGCAAATGACCTATCGAATAACCTCATGCCTTTCCATCCACAGTGGACATCCGCAGTCTCTTGCTTCTACTTACTGATATGGTTCTGGTCCCATCCACACCTAGAATGTTCTGTCTGAACTTAACATGATCCTACCTACCTAAGTCTAGAGAGAGAGAGAGAGAGAGAGAGAGAGAGAGAGAGAGAGAGAGAGAGAGATAGAGAGATATCATTCTGAACCCAAAACAAGTGTCTGCCAAAGAGGCAGAGCAAAGCCTTGGCAATTTTCCTAATTTAAAAACTGTATTTGCTAGGGGTGGGGGTGGCTCACACCTTTAATCCCAACCCTTGGGAGACAGGCAGGCAGATTTCTGTGAGTCCGAGGCCAGCCTGGTCTATAGAGTGAGTTCCAGGACACCCAGAACTGTTACACAGAGAAACTCTGTCTCAAAACAAAAACAAAAACAAAAACAGAAAACCAACCAAACAGAAAAACCCTGTATTTGCAAAAAGAAATTAAGAAATTATATTTCCCACTTCAGTGACATTATAAAGTCAGATAGAAAAACCCACTTTTCTAAAGCCAAGTAGCATTTGTCAGAGTACCACTTAGGAGCTTGTGTGCCCCAGTGTGTCCCCAACTGAGCTGTTCCCTAGTCAGCTGGGACCATAAAGCCAGCAATCTCTCTGCCCAGGAGGATGAGTTAAAGGTCCAACAGACTGGGCATTGCTGTCTGCAGGGGACACGGACTAGGCAGTGTGGCTCTAGACAACGCCACAGTCTTCAAATGAGAGCCATTATCTTTGCACCTCTTTTCCATGATAACCGGTCTCTGCTGTGGCCCCAGGGGAGCCAGAATGTTCTCAGTTCTGCTTTCTAGAAGCCATCCTCACAGACCCAGAGACATCACAGAAGGCAGAGGCTCTGTAACCCACTTGACATGGTTTGGATGTATTTGGAAGAAATATGTACAACTTGTTCTTTCCAAGGCTGGAAGAAAAGCACTGTGAGGCCTGGCAGGGGTTCTAAGAAGCAAGAGCCAGGCCTGGGGTAGGGGCAGGGAAGCAGGGGCAGCTTGGTGCTCAGCACCCACTGGCCAGCATTGTCCCTGCTGAGGTGGCTGGCTCAGCTGGGAAACACCTTTGATTCATACTCAACTCCACCATAGTCACTTCTGCGTATACAGTGGCACAAAAGAAATGTTCCCCTATCACCACAGAGGCAAGGCTGTGGTGTTTGAATTGTCACTCCCTACTGAATTCATCTTAGCTTATCTGGGTGGTAAGCAATATTCCTTGCTTTGGGGGGGTTAAACCCAGTCCTTCCCAGTTATGACGCTATCAGAGTCCTAAGAATCAGTCCATCAAGACTTGTAGTCATGATGGTGCAAGTCACATCCGAATCTGTCTCCTTCTATCGCAGCTGCTCTTCGGGCAGGCTGCCTCTAGTGGAGTCCCTTTCCAAGCAGTTCCAACATGCATTTTTCCCAAAGCATTCTTTTAAAATGCCGTTCCTCTCAAAAAGAGGCCCCTGCTGCATTTTGCCTTGTGAAAAAAATGGGAAAGTATTTCAAAACCCTCAAAATACCTATGAGCAGAATTATACAAGCCTAGGGAGATGTTAACCAGATGCCAAGCACGCTCGGGATGCACCAGAGCCTGTGCCTGGAACCAACCGTTGAGGACCAGACGGCTGCAGTGGCCCAGACTGGGCTAGCTGTTTACCCAATCCAACAAAGGCAGCACAGGCAGAGAGCTCATGTTTTAAAGACATCTCCTTTTGTGGCTTTTGTTTTTCTCCCCTAATACCATGAAAAAGATCTTGCTAATGCTTAAGAGTTTGGATTAGCAGGAAAAAACAAATGGGAGGTGGAAACAAAGAACGGTCCAGAGCACGGGTCTCCACAGATTGTGCACACCTGGGCACCACAGGCTACCAGAGCTAGCTAGCTTTTTGCTTCTTTTTTTTTTTTTTTGCCAGCAATGAAGATATGAATGGCTGAAATTTTTTAAAACTCACTTTTTCTACTCCAGAGACTTTCCCACTTTCTTCATCAGAAAATGGAGGGCAAGCTCCCCCCAGCCTGTCCCGATGTCATCGTCCGTTTGTTCTGTCTATCTTTATTTTCATCAAATTGAGACTTTGGGGAAATTGCATCAACCAACCAGAACATATATATGCATGCTCCTTTAAAAAAAAAAAAACCTATCTGAAAATATTTTAATTTTAAAGAAAGCCAAGTTTCTCTATTATTTGAAGATGCAGTGAGTTTCTTTTCCCCCTGGTTAGGTTTAGAGGTATCTCCAGGTAAGACTCCTCTGGGGCTGGGATGATGTGCAAGAGCAATGTTACCCAGCTTGTCCAGGGTGGTCTAGGGACCGGGGCAGTGTGTGAACAGCTGGCCCAACCCCAAGTAGCTAGCTTGAGTCAGCATTCATCTGAGAGACCGTCACTACCCAGGAACTCTGTAGCCTCGAGCTCCACACTGGACAGAAATCTCCTCAGCTTCTTGTGGCAGTTGTAATCCAGAGTGGTGGTGTAGATGGTCTTGGGGTACTTGGGGTAGATGATGGTGGTGCTGAGGAAGCGCGCGGCCTTGTGGCGGGGCTGGAAGTGCACCTCAGCCTTATAGTTTCGCCAAGTGCAATTGGGGATACAGGTGACTGTCTGGCTGCAGGAAGCCACCGCCAGGCCCAGGGGCATCTGCACATCATCAATGAAGTGACGCTCAGAGTCATACTTGACTGAGGAAGTATACCTGTGGGGAGATACAAGCCAGCATGAAGCTGCCCTCTGAGTGGGGAGCATGGGGTCCCAAGGGTGACCTCTCATCTCTCCAGGGGCACAAACATTGAACTAGGCTGCATCAGGGAGAAGCAGCGAGAGTCTATGGGAGTGCTTTATGAGAGGCAAGTTATTCCAGTCACTTTGTCACAGGACCTACCTAAATGCATCTTCCCAAACCTCCTGGAACAAGAGAGCAAGATGCAGAGATGAACGGTCACAATGTCCCTGAATGATGGACTGGGGTGGATGAGTGGGTGGATGGATGGACTGATGCATTTACAGGGCTGAGGATAGAAACCATGACCTGGAAGATAAACAAGAATTCTATCCCCCAGCTAAACTCCCAGATCTGAGCTGGGACCTAAATGCAGCACACAGGCTTCCAAAGTTTACCACTTCCCACAGCAGGCCACAGCCCTGAATTCTGTTCCCATTTACATAAGCTGGAAGCCCTCAGTCCAATGGCTTAACTTGTCTATACCTCAGAATCCTCTCTGAATACAAAGGGGCACAGTGTTTACATGCAGCCAAGTGCTGTCGGGGTAATTAAGTTACACACAGCACAAAGACATTTTGGTCAATGACTGGCAACACATATGACAGTTACATGCATAAGTGCATGTTAATATGTTTGTGTGCACTGGCTATCCTTTTCTTTTCTTTTCTTTTTTTTAACAACTTGATACAAGCTGGAGACATCTGAGAAGAAAGAACCTCAATTGAGAAAATGACTCTGTAAGTTTAGCCTGTAGGCAAGCCCCCCGCAGCATATTCTTGATTGGTGATTGATATGGAAGAGTGCAGCACATTGTGGGCAATGCCATCCCTGTGCAGGTGGTCCTAGGGCATGTACGAAAGCAAACGGAGCAAGCTTGGAGGAGTAAGCCAGTAAGCAGCACTCTGCCATAGTTCTTGCCTCAAGGTTCTTGCCTTGACTTCCTTTCATGTATGAACAGAGACATAAGACATCGTGCAGTGACCTTACCTAAGGACCTAAGACATCGTGCAGTGACCTTACCTAAGGACCTGTTCTTTGAATGCATCTGTCACTGAGCAGAGCTGTTCATGGAACAAGGTGGAGTCCAACATTGAACATGGGAGTTAGATGCTCCCCCACCCCCTCCATGACCAGCCAGCTCTTGCATGAGAAGGGGAAGAATCTCAGAACTGCTGAGGGCTGGCTCTAGAAGCTTGGCTACAGTCAAGCTTCTAGATGGCCTCAATGCTTGTCCTCCCCCAACTATGGTTTGGAAACCTCCCAACTTTGGGGGACCCAGGGACCTGATCCTATCAATGAAAGCCAAGTGCATCCCTGATGGCCACAAACTAACTTGCTATTTATATCCCTCAGTTGCTTTATTACTATTATTATTTTGGGACAAGGTCTTGCGAGTAGGCCAGCCTAGCCTACAATTCCCCCAGCTCTGCCTCAGCCTCCTGAGCGCTGGCTGGGACTGCATGTAGGTCTACACAACCTTCATGGCTAGGGTTAATGTGTTCTGGGAGCACCACAATGACAACTTGGCTACATTAATATTGCAGCTTCACAGCTATTAGTGTCTCCACAAGCATCACGTGGGTGAGAAGCAGCATTCTGTCTATTCTCCCTGGAGTCACAAGATACTGATGGGAACTAATGTCACAAAGTCATGTCCCAGTTTTGTCAGAAACACAAAGCTCCAGGGGAATAAAAGGTGAACCTGCTCACCTCTAAATGGATGAACCTCCCTCTGTTCCATATCAAAGGCCCCTTTGTGTTCGGGCAACTGAAACTCCAGTGACAAAACCCCCAGTCACCAAAAGTAAAATTCCTTTCCTGAAAAAGACAGCCCTTTGCTGGAACCTCTCCACAACTCTTTGCCTCCGATCATCCTTGGTGAGATCATTCCCAGAGGACTTGTCCAGTGACATAACATGAAACAGGGTCACAGCACCTTGAAGGTGGGATAGAGGGAACAAGTGGCTTCAGGAAAGAAGCAATATTCAACCAAGTCTTTAGCACCTGAAGGCATGGTATATGAATTGTGTAAAGCATATGGCAGAACTTCATCACCAAATCTCACTTTTATTTTAAAAAGAGTGTTTAGTAGGCGTAGTGTCGCACACCTGTAATCCTCACACTCAGGAGGCCAAGACAGAAATATCATCCTAAGGTTGGATGATAACCTGGGCTATACAGTGAATACCAAGCCAGCTAATGCAACATAGCAAGGCCCCATCTGAAAACTTAAACTAACTAGCTACATAAATAAATAGAGCATCTATATGTCTAATTAGTTTCATGCAAGAAAATAAGTCAAACTATTAATAGTCTTTGGTACATTTTCATAATTAACTTTTTAAAACAATAAGCAATCATACCTGGAATTTTAAAAACATTTTAAGAAATAATATCAGGGCCAGTACACTCACTTTATTTCCTTGGGTGGTAGCGGGTCAAACTCGACTCCTTCGCCAAAGGACAGGGGACACAGACGTGGTGAACAGACAGCAGCCAGAGACTGGGTCAGAGATGCTGGGTTCTTCGGGGAGAGAGAGAGAGAGAATGGTTAGACCTATGACTGACCAGGCAAAGTATACACTCCATAGAAGGCTGAGCCTTGGAGCCTCCAATGAGGGGCCCCATAGTGATTACAGTCTGGCCCTACAAAGGACAGCCTGGCCCATGGCATGGGAAGTACACTAGACAGGGCAGGAAGGTGTGGGGTGTCCAATCCCCTATCAATCCTGCCCCCTTCCTTTTTCAGTGATGGACACTGCACCTATGAACATATTAGGCAAGGCCCATCCTAAGTGAGCTGTGTGAGTTGTGTCACCTCCTATGTCTCTATCTGCACACGGGGAAGGTCTGTGAAAGGCAGAAGAGGAAGCTGCCATGATGAACTCCACCTCAGGACTGAGGCCAGAGCCAGAGGCCGCTGTACACAGGAGCCCTGAGGTAAGAAAGCCCCACAACTCACGCTTAACTCTTCAGAACCCTCAATTATGCAGAGCCCCCACCACTGTCATTGTCTCAGCAAAAGTCAGAGAAAGAAGGCCACAACTACTGCCTCGGAAGAAATGCTCCCAGGATTTTTTTTTTTTTTCTTTTTAAGGTAAAGATTAACTCCTACTTCCCCACCTCCTTTGCCGCCATCCAAGACAGAGGGTTCCTGCAACTCTGTGACAGTGGAACACAGAGATGTTTTTGCTCTATGTTGGCTTCCACTAGCCAGAAAGCCCAGTGTGCAGAGTGCAGCCTTTGACTCAGCAGGGAAGCTCAGGTGACAGCCTCAGGTCACCCAGTTTGCTAGAATCCGTCCCTCTGTGCTCATGTGCAGAAATAAACACAGGGAAGAGGGGCCTCCACAGCACTTTGTGCTCTCTGGTTTTCTGAGATCTGTCATTTTCTTTGCTTAATTTAAGAGCAAGAGCTACATCTGTGCCAGGGCGTGGAAGTGGCAGCCCCACCCCAAGGACAAAGAAGGCAAAGTTTCTAGAAGGTTGGCTCTGAGATCTTTACTGTGTTACCAGGACAAGATGCAAAAGCCCAGAGGGACAGCCAAGAGTCTTGGGGGTACTGCTCCGGGGCTAGGATGGAGCTTAGGGACTCTGGGTTGGGGGAGCGGGTATGGTTATAAGATGTGGGTACAGATCTAGAAACAGTAGGTCCTGCTCTGCTCTCTGACTGCCAGGACAGCACATCCCAGGAAGCTGCAGCATTATGCGGCCACCACAGCTGGTTCTCCCACACCTCCAAACAACTTTTATCCAGGGGTCCATTTGGCTTCCCTTTCCCTGTCTCTCATTCCTGCCCATCGAACAGACACTCCCTGGGTATCTAGGCGTGGGAGGGAGATAAGGTGGGTTAGCATCGGTAAGGAGACACAAATCTACAAGGAGACACTGAAGGATGGACACCAAGCCACGGGTTCTGGAACACGTCTGAGAAAGCTCCCAGAGGAGGTGACATGGTTGAGCATGGAAAGGCCATCAGGGCTTGGATGGGAAAGGTGAGGGTCAAGGTTCATGGCAGGTGGAAGAAGTGACATCAGAAGCACTGTGAGTGTCTGGTCTGTGGTCAGAGGAGGTAAGATGAGGCAAAAGGCCAGACGGCCAAGCAGAAGCAAGCTTCACATTGGAATGGAGTATGAGGTGCTAAGTCAGAATCAATAGGTCAAGAGGACCCACACCACCAAAGTCACTGTGGTCCTCCAGCCTAACAGCCACCCCACAGGAGGCCCATTCAACAGCCATCCCTAAGTCCTACTTTGAGCTTCCACTGTAGGCAGGATGTGGCCACCCCTGCGCTGGCTCGGCCTGCAAACCACCACCTGAACAGATCTCAGGGCAAAACAGACGAGATTTTCTTGCAAAAAGTTTAAAGTAAAAGAAGTAAAAGGATTAATACTTTCAAAGCTTGGCCACCTGGAGGACTGATCTCATTAAGAGCTGAACTCTGGCTGAGTTAGGTATTCAGGATCTGGGTCCACCAACACACTGAAGGCTCAAGGCATGACTCTCCAAGTCTCCCAAAGGTTGACCCGCCTTGTGCCGGGAGCCCAGAACACACCCCTCTCCCAGGTCCCGGCAGAGGGAGGCCGCCTAGGGAGCAAACCCTCGGGGCGTGGGCCCCCGGGTGGGGAGGGCCGGGTTCCCTGTCCGTGTCCCGGGAGCCCCACCCAGCCCGCCCCGACAGGAATGTGGTCGAGCCGCAGCTTGGCAGCCCCGGGGGCCACCACCTCGAAGGGAGGAGACTGCGGCTCGCCTCTCCCGGGGCTCCCGCGCCTCCCAGGCGATGACAATTTTCCAGCCACTGGCTCCAGCTGGCCAGGCTCTCTCGCTGCGCTCCCGCCCCGGCTCCCGGCGATGGCCACGCCGTCTCGACAGGCGGGTGGCTGCACCGACAGCGAGCGCTGGGGAGTCCCCGGGGCTGGCTCCGGATGGACCTGGACGGGGAGAAGTCCGCACACGAGGCAACTCACCGGGATTGCTGGGGTCGCCGCCGCGTCGGGCTCCAGCGCCCCTGGGACCGGAGCGCGCTCCCCACCGCCACCCGCCGCCGCGGCGAGCCCCCAGTGGCTGGGGCTAGGGCTTGGGGGGAGCCCCGGGGCTGGGCTGTGGAGGGAG